CCCGGGCCTGAAGCAGCTGTGTAGGAAGGCCTGTTAGGGGAACAATTTCTTCTGAATGCTCCGTACTGTCCCCAAGACCCCCAGTGCAAGCCAGTTTCCGAACAACCGAGGTACTTGACAGCTACTGATTCAACACTATTCCTCAAACAGTTCCTGACTACCTGCTATATGGTACTGTACACCATGCCAGGAATAAAAGTGTGTTTGGAGAGAGTATCTGAGAGCGCTAAAGAGAGGCAAAAGCACCATTCTTTCATTGGGATCTTTGTAGCCTTCTAGATCATCCAGCCCAAACTGGGAGATCAGGGTCAACCTAGATCATACCCAGAAATGGAAATATCCACCCTTACCTGTTAATGATACGAGGTTTCTTTCCAATTGTACAGCTTAGCTTTAGAAGATTTAAAATGGCACGTCACCAACTGCTGCTGCCATTGATAAGATATCAGTGGGCGGAATTGTAAATGAGCATGAGGCCTGTGCTTCACACCCTGACCCGCTGCACAGTGCCCACCTGGCACGGGGCACCTCTGTAGCTGGGTGCTTGGGAGAATGCAGCAAGGACAGAGTTGCTCTCAACCATGTGGTGCCAACCCAATGGGAACCTGGGGTGCCATTAGTGCAGACAGCCACCTGGTGGCACAGGAATTTTTCCAAGACACAGAGCCTCACTCTCAAGAGTACAGCTTTGGTTCAGATCTGGGTCCTGAAACTTCTTCAGTTTCTCTGGGTATGAGTTTCTCATTTGTAAAACAGAGGTAATAACAGTACCTCTCTCACTGGGGCGACGTGAGGATTAAATGTTAGTCTATGTGGAGTACTGAGCACTACGTAAGTCAAGTCTAGACTCTTGGATGGCCCATGAGTGAGGCTGTGTGCTTAAACCAGGCACAGGACTCTCACCCTGGGTGCCGGATTCTCACCCTGGGTGCCGGATGCTCACCCATCACACGGAGTAGTGATACTTAACCTTAGACGCCTGATGGAGAATAAAGGAGATAATATAAGCTAAGCACTGAGGCTTAGCAGGTATTTAACTAAATCAGCCTTCTTAAACCTGGCTGCATATCAGAATCACCTACAGAACTTTATAACATTATTACCTTTTTAAATTTTTTTGTTTCAAAAAAGTTTTAGATTTACAGAAAAAGTTGCAAAAACTGTACAGAGAGTTCCTGTATACCCTTCACCCAGCTTCCCCTAATGTTACCATTTTGGTCCAATTATCAAAATTTTCAAAACTAAGAAATTAACACCGGTACAATACTCTTAAATAAATTTCAAACTTTATCCACATTTTGCCATTTTTCCTACTGATGTCATTTTTCTCCTGCAGAACCCAGTCCAGGATCCCTTTGCATTTTCTTATCATGTCTCATTAGTCTCTTCCAGTCTGTGACAGTTCCTCAGTCTTTCCTTATCTTTCGTGACTCTGACACATTTGAAGAATTCTGGTCATTGTAGGATGCCCATCACTTTGGATTTGTGTGATAGTTTCTAATTATTAGATTGAGGCTATGCATTACTGAGAAGGATACCACAGAAGCAATAGCATTTCATATCAAGAGGTACATGATGTCAAAATGTCTTATTACTGGCGATGTTAACCTTGGTCACTTGGTGAAGGTGGTGTCTGCCAGGTTTACTCATTGTAAAGTTACAATTTTTCCCTCTATCATTAATAAATACATTGGGGGGACTTTATGCAAATAACCTATTTCTCCTCATGTTTTTCCTCTCTCATATTCCATTCATCTGTGCATCTTGCCTGCAACAATTACTGCATCGTTCTTATGGTGATTTTCTATTCCCTCATTCTTTCTAAATTATTAATTGGAATTATTCTGTATTTCATTTATTTATTTATTCAGTAACTTATTGAAATCATCATGGACTCATGGATATTTATTCTGTTTTATTTTATGGGACTTATAATCCAGTACTGCCATTATTTATTTTGATACTCAAACCTAAGGCACTTTTTAAAATACCTATGCCTGGGACCTTCTCCAAATCAATTAAACCAGACTCTATGGAGGTGGAACATAGGCCGTGGTATTTCTTTAATACCTGTGCACTACATGGTAGTTCTTTCATTCTCCCCACCTGCTTTCTCTATAGAGAAAAAACAATCCTTCTTTACATTATTCTGCAGGATTTGTTCCCCCACTGGCCCCTGGAGGGCTGATGAGAGGCTGCTGCCACTTAGGGAACTGGCTCTGTGATTATCATGCCCACACAGCCCGCACCCCTGCACCTTCACTCCCTGAGCATCCCCTGACCCCAGACGGCAACCTGAGCTCCAGAATCCTCTCTTTTACAGTAGTAGCCTCCTGATGTGGAAAGTCTGCTGATTTTTATTGCTGTTTTCATTTGGATCAGGTGGAGGGAAAAAAAAACTATGGCAGCCTTTAGAAAGTCAGGCTTGGGAAAAAAGGCTTAAGGAATTATAAGCTTGAACTTTCTGAAGGAAGGGCTTTCTGAACGGCACAGTGGATGACACCTGATGGCAGGCTGACAACATACAGGAGAGCTGTCCCTGCAGTTGCTTCGGCTCTGCCTTCTAAGTCCCATCAAGTCCTTTTCTGCCATTTGGACAAAGTTTTAAAGCATGGAGACAACCCTCAGTTATTTGGACACCTTTGAAACCATCGGAACCAAATATGTAAATTTAATTCTCCCTTTAGGAGAGCAGTGTGGAGCCAGATACATTTTCATTCAAGGAGATGGTCTTCCTGAATAAGGAAATTGATCCTATAGCATCCTTTATCTGGTTTCCAATTTCCCTCTATGCCTAGGTGCCAAATCAATCTCATGATATTTTTAGAAACCTGATTGCCTCTTTAGTCAGATTGATGCCAATAATATGTCCAAAACTTAGATGAATCTGATTTAAAACCTGATCCGTACTTGAATAAAAGCTTAGCCCCAAGTTTACCATGGCAACATGAATTTAGCACAGTTCCCCAAATTATGCCATATGAATCTGGGGAGACTTGTCCCACAAATTTCTATTTCTCTTTTTTAAATTTTGTTTCTTCGTAGTGGTCCATTCCAACTTGAATTTTTCCTACCATGCACTTTCTATATTGAAAACACCTTCTATCAAAATTTTAAGGGGTTTCAATGTCTAGGGTAAGTAAATAAGCAAACTCTATAATAACTGGACAGGACGGGATCTGATGTCTCACTATAGAACATAGAGATACTTCTGAGACAGGCATAATAGAGATGCAAACTATTAACTCAGCTCTGCCTCCAACCCAGGATGAGGAATGTTTAAATGCTGCATGACAAAAGTAAATCTCTCTTCCTGGAAGAACTTTAACCTCAGAGGAGAGGAAGCTCAAAGGTTAATTGTCTTCAGAGCCATGAACTCGACACCCCTCTTGATAAAAGACTTCGATCCCTGACCCCAGAAAACTTGCTACTCTAAAAGCCATTTGTGTATTGATCTCTTCTGAAGAAAACGAATAGGTATCTAGCAGGATGAGCATCTCTGGGAAACCAAGTTACTGTACTTAGAGTAAAGCTGAGTGCTGGGAGGGGGACCCCAGGGCATCAAGCGCTGTAAGGTGGTTTGCAGGAAGCTGGGACACTTTTTAAGAGAAGCGCTAAGAAGAGTCCAAGAAGAGCTTAGTCTTGCAACAAAGCCGCATGGTGAGTGTAGGTCAACGTAGGAAGGTTTATCTGCTGGGATATCTTGACTGCTCTTATCATTTAGACTTCAGGACAGAAGAGGTGGGGTGGACTGGCCTAGAATGGAACCCAGTCTGAGACCAGACCTCTTTGGGGGTGAGATATTATAGTAACCCTACATCAGGACGCTCACCACCACCACATGTTAATCCGGTTCACATTACCTTGAACAAATGAGCCAGTGTTTCTCCTATGAGGCGGAGACAAGGATATAGAGACCGAAAAATGTGGGGACTCTCGGGCTACACAGCAGGGGTTGAAGATTTGGACTTTCTCAATGTAGAGACTCTAGGTTTAAGTACATTGTCCGTCTAAAACAGCAAGAGAAAAATGGTGGTGTCGTGCCTGCTGAGTTTCTCCCGTGCGATCAAACTTGGATCATCCACTTTCCATACCTGGAGGAGGCTGTCTTTAGAGGCCTGCCGTTTAGCTGCTAACTCCATATAAATTTCTTTCAACAACGGAACTTCAAAAAATAGTTATTGAGCACCTGCTAAGAACAAGACAAAGGCCTGCTCTCATGAACAGACAATAAGCAAGTAAACAACAACAGCAGTTTCAGAGAATGATTAATGCCACAAGGGAAATAAATCCAAGTGAGAAAGAGAGAAGGGGCAGGCATCAGGTAAGCCCTCTCCGAGGAGGATACATTTGCACTGATTCCCAGCAGTGAGAAGGAGTGAGCTGGTGGGAGAACGTTCCAGCCAGGTGACTGCCCTCAATAGCCAAGGCCTCAGGCGAGGGACCAGCTTGGTCGAGATGACCACCAGAGAGGCCAGTAAGGCGGGAGCATAGCAGACAAGGTCAAGTGGGTGAGGAGAAGGCTCTGGAGAGGAGCCAGATCACGGAACACCCTGTAGGCCACGCTCTTAGTGGAAGTGGAAGCCCCTGGAGGGTTTGGAGTGGGGCGGGGCTGGGGAAGGAGGATGATGTGTTTTTTGTTTTGTAAATATCTTCATAGCTCTTTGTGCTAAACAGACTGTGTGGGGCAAGAGTGGAAATCATAACTATAGCTGGCTCTTAGGACTACGTAGTTTCCAAATGCCAAAAGCCTGAACATCCTACGGGCTCACGTTTAATCTTGCTGTTTGATAATGATGGTCGCTGAGTTTAGTTCACAGCCTCAGATCCTCTTCACGTGCACATTCCTTAAACGTCAGCAAAACCGTTTGTTGAATTCATTTAAGTTGAAAGTATGGTTTGTGCTTATCGGCTTATTAAAGATAACATCTTACCTGAAACTGTGAGAGGAATTTTTATTTTTTTTGGCTTTAATCAGTTATCTCGTTTTCCTCCTACAGGGATCCCAATCACCCTTCAGTACCTTATCACTATTACGAACCTTTTGGACCTGATGAATGTATGATGTACCTCTCCCATGAGCGAGGACGGAAGGGTAGTCATCACCGCTTTATCACAGAGAAAAGAGTCTTTAAGAACTGGGCACAGACATTCAATATTCACTTTTTTCAACCAGACTGGAAACCAGAATCACCTGCTATAAGTCATCCTGAGAATAAACCTGTGTTCTGAGGAATGTGTGTGGCCAGATGGAAATCCCAAGAACCCACTGTATCAGACATCAGGCCACTGAACTTCTTGAAACACCAGACATGAAAGATGAAAAGAATTGGTCGCCGGGGTAGCTTCAGTCCTCAAGAAGTACCATGAACAGGTGCCTCCGAGGCGTGACTACACAGCAAGGGCAGTTGGTTTGTAAGGGAAAATTCCAGAATGAATACATCCTAATGAGTGTCGTCCCTTTCAAAAGGGGTTACCATAGGGGCTGAACTCTCATTTAAATGATGTTGCCATGGCTAAAATCATTTTGGATCTCTTTAAGTATTGCCTTCGAAACTGAGACATTAGGAACTCAACATTAGTTGTATTCCTTTGTAGAAACGCCACGTCAAAAGTCACTTTTCTATCAAATTGTATCCTATCCTGAAGCTTTGCCATTTGTTGGACTCTGTATGTGTGATTTGTAAAAAGCAGCCTGAAAGTATGGACATGATTTCTGAGGAGTATATCTTCACTGACTTTCATAAACAAATGCCCAATATTTATTTATTGAGAGTTTTTTAGTGTGTTCTCGGCCAGTATTTTTATAGATTATGATTATGTGGTAATTTATCCTTCCTAATTCTTTAATCCTGAGTGATGGTTGGAAAAGGCCCGGAACTGGGAGATGAGTTGCGGTGTTCCCAATGCTCATCGTTAGCATGCGACGGTATTTGGCTTGGAAATGTTGCATTGCATTTTTTGAACCCTCAGGCTTCAAGAACAGCTATGACATTTTCCAATATGCAGAAATGCTCCATTGAAAACCAAAAACTGCGTCGTTCAAACAAAAAAGATACCAACAAGAGAAACTTAAAGACAGTTTGCTTTAGTAATAATTGATGTAGGTTACTTCACTAAAGCCCTAGTTTCCTCTTCTGCAGAATGATGTCACTGTACCAGCGGACCTCTTAAGTTTCATTCCAGATCTGAAATTCTCTCAACGAGCCTCTTTTTGACCCACCTGAGGACTTTGCACTTGGAATGGTGGGGCTCCCACAGTAGCAGGAGCCTTATTTTAGGGGGCCTTTTATATCCCCCTACTACCTATCCCCCTCTTGTGGTTAAAAACATACCTCCTCCATGGAACCCATTGGCCCAAATCCATCCCCTGCTTCTCTGGTTCTTCTTGCACCAGAGAGAGAGAGAGAGAGAGAGAGAACTTCAATGCTATTCTAAGGGGGTGCGGCGGGGGGAATCTTTCATGCTATTCCCTGACTACAGGAGCAAGGAACTGCATTTCTGTGAGTTTGTGCGGAGAAGAGAATACAAGGAGATTCCCCATCATACGACTCATTTATCCTATGAACTATTCAGATTCACTTCCTGCAAATCTTACATTATATTCACTGCCGTTCCCTCGTCTTCAGAAGTGTAAAGGACTTATTTTTATTCCGAGTCAAGATCAGCTAGTGTGAAAGATTTTCATTTACACAAGTAATATTGTTCAAAAATAGCCTTTAAAAAAATATACCAATGTTTCCTTTACACATGGCTTAGGAGGCATTAATTTCTCTTATGCCAAATTTGAAGGCACCAGCAAATACTATGTATGGAGACTGACATTGTTTTACAAAACATGACCTGGTTTGAGATTAAAGAAGCTTTCTCACATTACCACCTCTTTTCCCTTTCCTTAATTAGTACTGAGATTCCATTCCTTTGCATTAACTAGTACTATTGATTATATGGAGTACTATTATTGAGATGCAAACACAGTCCAGATATTTATTTAGCAAAAATAAAGTTGGTATTATTGTGGTGCGGCGTGAGCTGTAAAAAGCCAATACAATGGAAATGTCTGTCCAAAACATACTGGAATGTGCCCTTTAAATTGTCTCAGTTTTTTAAAGAAACAATAGGATTCTATTCCAGCACAATCTCTTCTGCAGCATGGACTCTGGACAAACAGTACTTTATGAACTTATAAAAAATCATAAGAATTTTACATAAATGATTCATAGGCCACCTTTCCCATCACTTGAAGAGATTATATTGCTCAGATGTAAGTAGCTCCTTTAACAAGTTTTATTTTTAAGGCATACTGGGACATGAAAAGATGTAGCTATATTACCTAATCTAATAATATCTCAAATGTCTGTATTATCCTCAGGTTTTAGAGGTTTTGTTTTTGTTTTGTTTTTTAATATCATATGATAGCTCCATTTTTTTTGTAACTTTTCTCTCTCGGATACTCAAAAGAGTGTAAAGCAAAGGAATTCTGAAATTCCTGGCTTTATTGGGAAATATTTTAAATCTACATGTGGCTAGGATATGTGAGTATGTGGATTTATATTTTTAAAACTATGGTATAAATATGTAAGAAATTGTCACTTGGACAGTGGTTTTATTACAGCATTTAAAGAAAATACCTAGAACTCTGATAGACTGTGCTGCTGGAACTGGCTGTGGGCAACTGAATTCTTCTCTTGCCAATATCATTTCATGACTGTCAGTCTTAACACAATGCAACACCATTAAAATCAACTCATATAAAAGACTACAACCATGTTTACAGACCGCAGTGATTTCAATATCCAACTGTGTTTGGAGCCTACATCATACTCATTATGTTACATACCTTTCTCCTCTCTCCCCAGCTGTGTCATCAGCTTCCTCTCAGCTTTTAAGACCCCAGTAACACAAAGCTACGGCTAGCCCATCCCCGGCATCTGTTATTTCAACGCAAGAACATTTGGCAGAGGCCATAGCCATTATGAGCAACGATACAGGAATGCACAGGCAAAATCAATCACTTCAAATGGCCCATAAAAGGAGGAATCTTGCCTGTAATATTCTCCAGTAAATATTCACCCAAGAAAGCATACATTAAAAGAACATTAAGAGGTAAATATTCAGTGTGCTGCGTGGGGACTTCGCTGTGTGAGGACTTCGCTGTGTGATTTCCATTACGGTTAATGGGTATTTGATAACTAAGTCCCTGTGCTTCACTAACCCTGGTATGTGCTCCTAAGGGCTAGACATAAAACCAGAGTGATGCAGGAACTTCCAAGGTCCTAAGATTGCAGAGTTAGAGCTTTTCTCCAAAAAATAAATGAAAGCAAAACACAAAGTACTGTACTTAAAAGAGAAATTTCTGTGAGGTCTCTTGGAACCCTTAGGTTCCTACCAGATATGTGTATCAGATTACAAACATGAGCTCTCAAGACAGATTACCTTTGTTTTCTGAAGTTCTCTCCATTACTGATCTTTTTGAATTACATTAAAATGGAAGGCAATAACCTCATTTTGAAATAAAAACTCACCTCAAAAATTAAAAGTATTGATTTAGAAGGTAAAGGTATTTAGAAGGAAGAAAAATGTTGAAATTCTATCAGGACTGAGAGTGTTATTTAAATGCATGTGTACCGATTTAATAGGCCCAAATATTTGTCCTTATGTAGGAGTGACCTCATTTCAGAAATATACCCTGTATTCCACTGGCATGGTGATTCAGGTTGTTAAACAGACCCACTCTGAAAGAAGGGTCTATGTTCCCACTCTCTCTCTCTGAAGTGTTAGGAGGTGATGTTAGCACACTTACATCTTTCGTTCCTGACCCAATCATTTCTTCCACCCTCACTGCTTCTCTCTTAAACCTCATTCTGTCTTTGCCATCATTCTCTCCTGCTGTCTTTTGTCTACAGTGTACTCTTAAACCAGCAGTCTTTGGTGTCTCTTAAGGTCTTCCCTATAGGTTTTTAAACTAGAGACCTACCTGGGGAACAGATTTGGGATGGGTCCTACCAGAGCAATAGCCATAGTAGGTTGGGAGGTCTACAGGACAAGGTTTTTCAGAAGTACCATCCTGGTTTCCCCATGGCCAAGGGAGGAGGGAAGGGGAGGAGCTCCAAAATATGGACTTTCTGTACCAAAACCAGGACAATCCCAGGAAAGCCAGGACAGTGCGTCACCCTATCGAAAGGCCACTTCAATGAGAACTCTAATACTTAAAGCCTTTGGGGTAAAAGTGAACCAACCGCCTAGGTTCTAGCACATGCCATAAGACACTTTGGAGTGGGAAGAGGTGAGAGAGTGTCTACAAGGCTTATAAATGAATAGGAGTAACCCTTTTATTCTCGCTCCCTCATCCCCACCTACTCAGGGTATTGAGCCACCAAAGAAATGCAAAAAAAAGCCTGCAATCCTGTTTGTTTCCACTCAGTGCCCTGATATTATATGCTACCTTGGATTGTCCTTTGTCTTTTTATGTATGTGTCCTGTTAGTCTAATTAGATTGTAAGCTCTTTGAGAGCAGGGACTGTTTCTCCTTTGTCTTTGTAGCCCCATGCCTAGTACAGTGCCTTGCACACAATGGGCGCTCAATAAATGTCTGTTGTTGATGATGACCTCTTAACGTTGGCCCACTGGATTGGTAATCAGTATATATTCTTCCAGAATAGGTGATGAAATAGTTAAATTTTAAATGTTTTTTTATAGGGTCAGTCCTTAAACCTATAACATTTTTAATCAACAGAGCTGAGCTAGATTTCATAGAATAATATTGCTGATTTCATTAGGTTTGCTATGCTGGCTGTTCTGAACACACAAAGTGAAGTTCAGCAAGCTTTGTGTTCTCGCTGTTAGCGAGCTGCTCTTAGCACAAATTAAATTTAATATTGACAAATGCTATACCACACGAAAAAGTGGAAAGGCATCTTGGGCTCTGACTTCTGTGGTTCAACTATAAAAGGGAGGCTAAAATGAGATGAGTATAGCTTGCCTGAAACTTGACAGCTTACTTAAGCTGCTGAGAATCCAACTGGTGGTTACTGAGGGTCTATAAAAATTAAGCATATATTTATCTTAAAAACAAAATACCTCCCCCGTTCCATGAAGCTAATCTAAAATTGTTTCATCTCTATGAGAACCTGAGGGGTAAGGAGAACTCTTGAGAAAGGGTATCCTCAGGCGGAGCATCCCAGGCTCCTGAGTCACCACCTGGCCAGCACCTGGTGTCTGATGACCACCTGGTTGCAGGAGAGGGCAAGATGGCATAAAGTCAAGAAGGGTGAGTAGCTGCTGGTGGGGCCCTCTACAGAAACCATAACTATTACCTCTTGAACATATGGACACTCTGGAGTTCTCCCTTCATTGTCTGCTCTTCCACATATTTATTTAATTGTGTGATCTTGATTTCAGTTTTTAGAACATAGGAAAAGGGCTACATGAAACTGAGAAGGGTGCTTATTTCTGAGTGGATAGGATTATAGATTTCCCCATATTTTCAGAGGTATTATAATCGCAAAATGTAATTTAATGAAATATTAAGAAAGACATTATGCCAGGATTTCAAACTGAATCCCAACAGGAATGTTAGTAAAAAGCTAGTATCGATATACACCATGTCTAACTACACATAAAAGAATGTCATTGCTCACTACATAAATCATCTTAAGGATTAGCATCTTTAGTTCTTTCCCACATGACTAGTCTTTAATT